CACATGCATAATTGCACATTGACTGTTGACTGCTGCACATGCTGCTCCCATGGAGGATGCATTCTCTTATTATATTCTTATATATTTTTATTATATCTCTGCATTTGCTGCTTAAAGTGCCTTAGATTTTGTTTTACTTATTTATCTACCTTATATTTTATTTGTATTTTGTGGCATTCACGTGGACGGCAAAGTAAGAATTTTAGTGTACGGTGACACATTTCCTAACTGCATATGACAAATAAACACTTTGACCTTGACCATGTCACTGGGGATTTTCCAGTATGCACCAACATAACATGTGGAGCCACATGGCGGTGGAGAAGAGAGTCATTCCTGCCTCCATAGCCTTCCCTATTTTTTCCGCTATTTGGGGGACACACACCTGGTTGCATGAGGACACAGGAGTCGGCCACCCTCTGCCGAAAAATACCGCTCTGGGGAGAGGAGAGGCTTGGCCCCAGCAGTGGGACATCAGAGAAGCCACACTTTGTTGCTCCTTGTACCCTGGTGAGGGATTCAAAGCATGTGACTGGGGCCTTCAGGCTGCAGGCTGCTCTGCTGCCTCAGAGAAATAGGGGAGCTCAGGCCAGACTGGTGTATGCTTGTTCTGCTCCTCCATCCGGCAGATGTCACCAACCATGTTAGATGGGGGAGGGGCTGGTGCTTCTAGCAGCAGGGAAATCCCTTTGCAGTCCACCACCTTCCTAATGATGTCTGGAAGCTCATGGAACAGAGCCTCGAAGGCCGGAGGTTGGCCAGCACCAGGAGCACGCCCAGTTGATGTCACCAGGGTCGCGTTTCCTGATGGCAGTGAACACCACCACTCAGCACTTCTTATCTGCCTCGAGCAAGCAAGCAAATAAAGAGCAGGTAGTCTGAGAAGAGATCGCAGGCTGGGTATGCTTGTCATTGAGGTAGGCCTTGCAGCAGGGGTGGGGGTGGCTGGGCATAATGAAGCCCATGTCACAGCCTGGGTAGATGATGATGGTGGTCTGACACTGGCATTCCAAGCTCATGTTTCTATAGGAACTTGCTTTGCTCTTTAGACTGTGCACTGAAGATAGAGGGAGCAGAGCTCAGGTCAAGCAGGCATTTGTGCACAGGGCACAAAAGAAGTCTCTTCAGGACCGTGAATACACAAAGGGATTAACCCAATAGTGACAGCTCTTAGAGGGCGAAGCCTATACAAAATAGAACAAATAATCAGTTGGCCTCTGCAGTAAACTACTACAAATTCGGGCCCACCTGGCAGATATATACACCACTGTGGGTGGTTTGCACACACAGTGCTTAGGGGCATTAACAAGGGGGCACTGCAACCACTGCATCATTGCAGGGAATACACAGTAAGAGCAGGGGCCATGAGTGGACCTGTCTTGGCATGGGCATGGCTCTACTGTGGCCCAGCCAGCAATTTAAGATGACTGCATCTGTATATCAGATAAGTCACTATATAAATTATTATATCAATAAAAACTACTATTAGTTAACCATCAAAATGGTGTGTAAAAACAAATACGTTCTGGATGGCCAGATCTATGAAGACTGTTGGTGATTCCAAATCTCTTCCATTCAAGAATGATGGAGGCTGCTGTAGAAACTTTCCCTGGATCTTCCTCTCCTGTCAGTTATGTACTCCATTCCTACACTGACGGTGACAAAACTATTTACATAAAGGTACTACATATGCTTTTGACACCATTGATCACAGCATCTTATTACAGAGACATGAACATGTCAATGGAATTAAAGGAATGGCACTAAGTTGGTTCAAGTCTTATTTATCAGAACAATTCCAATTTGTTCAGGTTAATGATGAAGCTTCCATGCATACTGAAGTTAGTCATGGCTTTGTGTTAGGTCCAATTGTCTTGCCATTCTCTTGCCCCGTTTGACTAATATATAAATTTGTTTGACGATCTGAAACATTACAGTGTGACAAACATGCAAAAAGATAAGAAATCAGTAAGGGGGCAAACACTTTTTCACACCACTGTATGCTTTTGACACCATTGATCACAGCATCTTATTACAGAGACATGAACATGTCAATGGAATTAAAGGAATGGCACTAAGTTGATTCAAGTCTTATTTATCAGAACAATTCCAATTTGTTCAGGTTAATGATGAAGCTTCCATGCATACTGAAGTTAGTCATGGCGTTCCACAGGGCTTTGTGTTAGGTCCAATTGTCTTGCCATTCTCTCGCCCCGTTTAGGCAATATTATAAGGAAACACAGCACCAATTTCCATTGCTATGGAGATGACAGTTATATTTGTCTATGAACCTAGATGAATTATATGAGTTAGTCAAACTTCAAGCATGTCTTAAAGACATAAAGGCCTGGATAACTTGTAATTTCTTACTTAGAAACATGCTATCTAATCATATAGTTACTCTAGATGACATAGCTCTGGCATCCAGTACTGCTGTGAGGAACCTTGGAGTCATTGTTGACCAGGACATGTCCTTCAATTCACACATGAAGTAAATCTAGAACTGCCTTCTTTCACCTGTGCAATATCACAAAAATCAGGAGCATCCTGTCTCAAAGTGATGCTGAATAACTGGTCCATGCATTTATTTCCACAGTGGACTACTGTAACTCTTTTTTATTAGAGTTCACAGAAGTAGAATGGGAGACAGAACCTTTAGCTATCAAGCTTCTCTCCTGTGGAACCAGCTCCCAGTCTCAGTTTGGGAGTCACACACCCTCTCTACCTGTGAGATTAGACTTAAGACTTTCCTTTTTGATAAAGCTTATAGTTAGGTTATTATAATATTGTAGTTTTTCAATATAATCCTAATAGGACAGTGAGGGAGGCCAGAAAGGTGCTTAGTATGTTGTGATATGTCTGCCAATCTACAGTATTTCATGGCATCATAACAACTAATGTGACTGAACCGGGATAAGACTGACAGCCATCTTGGTAAGTGCAAGCAAACAGGGGCCCTGAGCGGTCCTGTTGCCACTGAGTATATTTAACTATACTAGTGGTTTCTAGTCAACAAGATGGCCTTTGCTTGGGCCCATGGAGTGGTGTCTGTGAAATTACTGGACATGCATTCTAGGATAGGTTTGGTTTGATGTACCATCCTTTAGTTATAGGCCTAGGCTGAGGGTTGTCCCATGATGCAAAGCTCATCCCTTCTCTCTCCCTGCACTTATATGCCACCATTACATGTCACTAACTGTGTGTTTCTTCTCTCCCGGAGAGATCCTCTTTCTCTCCTTGTACCTTTCTGCCAGGTAGCCCTGGCTGTACGTTTCTGATGAGCAGTCACTAGCCACATGAACCTACCCAGTGTTTGATTGTTTTGTGCTTGCTGTGTCTTGTTGCTTTTTTTTTCTTTTCTCTCTCCTCTATCCACTCACCCCAACCTGTCAAGGCAGAAGTCTGTTTTTTTCTGTTAAAGGGAGTTTTTCCTGCCCACTGTCACCAAGTGGAAGCACTGACATCTAGGAGGACAAGTATAGAAATGAGTCCCTTTTCTGAGGCTAGGAGGAGATCATTGGTGACTATACCTGTGAAGAAGTCATACTCACTCATCCTGCCTGTTTCTACCTGTCTGGAGGAATGCCATACATTCTGGATGATAATCTGTATCGGCACCGAAATCTAATCATATGTTCGGAGGGCTGTACCCTAGCTCTCCAAAATTTCATTCAATTCAATTTTATCTGCATATGCAAAATAAGGTCTAGACCTTGTTATTATTATTATAGAGGAAAAACCCAACAAATCTCCCTTGAGCAAGCACTTGGTGACAGTGGGGAGGAAAAACTCCGTTTAAGACCCCAGCTCTTGGTGGGCAGCCTTCTGCCTCGACCAGTTGGGGTGAGTGGATAGAGGAGAGAGAAAAGAAAAGTAACAAGACACAACAAACAATCAAAGACTGGGCAGGTTGATGTGGTCATCTACTGTAAATCCATTCATTACTTTACTCATCACTCATTTCATTACTTATAAGTTATGCTGTGAACGAACCAACAAATACTGGTAAAAACATTACCTCTGCCCTTGGCAGAGTTAACACTGTTGTTAGTTTAAAAAAGCTGTGCCTCTCACAGAGACACAAAGGTGCCCTTGACAAAGCATCAGTATTTGATGCCCTGGGAAAAGAACACATTGGACATACTCTAATGTTCCAAGGCTGGATTTCTAGTGATTTAAAAAAACAAAAATTATGTTGTTAGCTTTAATTTAATTTACAAAATATTAACTCTGAAAAGAACCCAGATGTTCTGGTTCCACTGTGGTGATTTCCATTATACTTTTGGTAACTGTGAGGCTACACATTTTCTTTTGTTCAGTCTTGTCTTTTGGTCCTGTAAAAGACCTTCCATTGTGGATAGCACCCTTCATATCTTCTCCTGTTGATGATGTCTGAACACTTGTGTAAAACGATATGATTATGTTTTGTATTATTATATAAATAAAATTATGAAAGATTATGTTTACCCAACCCACTACACCATAATTTGTTTATAGTCCATTAGCCCAGCTAACCTTGAGATTCATTTAGATAATGCAGAATCATAGTGAGAGAAACTAGTGGGACAGGGAGAATGAAAGTGGCAGAGGGGAATAGAGTGTGGAGTTGGGGGTGGGGTGGGGGGACTGCGGCGTTAGACTATACTGTTAAGATACGATGACACAGCTTGCTAACACTATTTGGGTCTCACACACACTAATGCTGCTCTCTAGCTGGCAGCAGAAAAGCAGTTAATAACTCATGTCAATGTCATATATTTCACACACGTACAAAACAAGCAGTCTCAAACATATACATGCACACAAGGATAGAACGGCACCAAAACCTTAGCTTACAACTTTGCCCTCCAGTCTGAGGTAACATTATCTTGTATTCCCTCTGTTTTGCTCTCTTTTTCTCCTTGTCACATCTGCACACACACACACACACACTGTGGCCCACGACTGCAACTGCAGAAAACAGCAAGATACAGAGACATTGCATATTTTTTGATTCTTACCTCTGCTTGGTCAGATCATCAGTTCTGATGCATTACAGAGATCCAGCAGTTAGTCTCTGAGATGCTACTCGGGCTAGAGTCTGCCTGTATGTCCTCTCCCTCTCTCTGTCTCTCTCTCTGCTCTGCTGTCCTGTGTGTGTCTCTCTGTCTCTCTCTCTCTGCTGTCCTGTGTGTGTGTGTTTTTTTATCTGCACTGCTCTTGCATCCTATTCCAAGTTCCTCTGTGTCTGTCTAGAGGAAAGTTGCACAATTCAGGTACTGACTCAGTCATTAAACAAGTACTAAATGGTCTTCATTAATAGGTTGTTTTTTACAGAATCATTTACTAAGGATGCATTGATACTGATACAGTATCAAGTCTGACACTGTCCTCTGCTACTCATACATAAAAGTAATTCAATACCAATACCACCTTACTATGACATTATTTCAGCCCCATGCTGGTTATGCAGGTGTCATATGAAGAAAGAGGAATTTCAGTGGTTTGAAGATATTTTAAGAAGTGACAATGACAAAAGTAAAGACAAGTGGTTATGTTCTAAAGCACGAACAAACACGGCCACACCTCCACTCAACCCTGCTGGAAGGAATTTATGTGGCCACTTTGCTCTGCACTTTGTGTGTGTAGTTAAGCGTTGCCCTTGGTCAAACAAACACACATAGACCTGAAACTGGATGCACTAACACTTAGATTCAGTGCTTTGATCTATTTACTCCCTTGAACTCTGACCCTGCATTTCCCCTATTCTAGCTGCTGGATTCACCTGCAGCTAGATTCATTTTGTTTTCTTGGACTTGGATTGTGTTTTTCTTCTCCAGTCAGTCTCCTTACTTGTGTTATGGTATTCCCAAATCAGTTTGTTCTTGTTTAGTTGCATTTTCTCAAGCCAGTCATATTTCCAGCAATGCTGTCTATATTCTAGTCCTGTCTTGTTCCTGCCATTATACTTACCGGCATTTGCCTGTTTCCCTGTAATCCTGTTATTAATAGACACACCTATATTTTTGTCCTCCCCAGTATACATGAGGGGGTCAGAATATTAGGAACACCTCTGAATATAAAGTAGTCCAGTACAAGACCACATATGGCCTCGATAATATAATTGAACCATATAATTGAATTTAAACATTTATGACAATTTCACCAAAAACTGAAACATTTTGAGCTTCATAAACAGACATATAAACACAGACGTACCTTGCAGAAGTATTTATACCCTTTGAACTTGTCAACATTTTGTCACGCTACAACCACAAACTTAAATGTATTTTATTGGGAATTTATGAGACTGTAATGGGAAATTTATATCTGCACCCTTTTTAGTGTATTGACTGTTGCTATGTAGTTATTCTATGCAGTTATTTGTGTGTTTGTGAACCTAGACGGTTTACTGTGTCAGCACATTTGTAGAGATAAATATGCCTTTGTGTGAATGCTGAACCAGATAACTTGTATCCTGTTTTGCATCTGTTTGAACATCTGTTTCTTGCATTTGTATGTGTGTGTGTGTATAAGAAGAGATGAAGCCCTCCGTTCTAGGACCCTCTCTCTTCAAACTGTTGTTAGCACTCTGTATGGAGACTGCCCCGTCCCTGTGAAGTGGAAGGAAAGTAATACATGGTGTTCAAGATTTTTTACAAATAAAAATCTGAAAAGTTTGGCGTGCAAATGTATTCAGCCCCCTTTACTCTGATATCCCTAAATAAAATCCAGTGCAGCCAAATGCCTTCAGAAGTCACCTAATTAGTAAATAGACTATGTACAGTACTTCAATCTCAGTATAAATACAGCTGTTCTGTGATGGCCTCAGAGGATTGTTAGAGAACATTTGTGAACAAACAGCATCATGAAGACTATGGAACACAGCAGACAGATCAGGGATAAAGTTGTGGAGAAGTTTAAAGCAGGATTAGGTTATAAAAACATATCCCAAGCTTTGAACATCTTACAGAGCACTGTTCAATCCATCATCTGAAAATGGAAAGCGTATGGGACAACTGGAAACCTACCAAGACATGGCCGTCCACCTAAACCAACAGGCCGGGCAATCAGAAGAGCAGCCAAGAGGCCCATGGTAACTCTGGAGGAGCTGCAGAGATCCAGATCTCAGGTGGGACAATCTGTCCACAGGACAACTATTAGTCGTGTACTCCACAAATCTGGCTTTTATGGAAGAGTGGCAAGAAGAAAGCTATTGTTGAAAGAAAGCAAGAGGAAGTCCTATTTGCAGTTTGCCACAATTCATGTAGGGAACACAGCAAACGTGGAAGAAGGTGCTCTGGTCAGATAAAACCAAAATTTTACTTTTTGGTCTACATGCAAAATGCTGTGTGTGGTGGACACCCAACACTGCACATCAACCTGAATACACCACCCCCACCATGGAACATGGTGGTGGCAGCATCATGCTGTTTGGATGCTTTTCTTCAGCAGCGACAGGGAAGCTGGTCAGAGTTGATGGAAAGATGGATGGAGCTAAATACAGGGAAGTGCTGGAAGAAAACCCGTTAGAAGCTGCAAAAGACTTGGGACTGGGGCGGAGGTTCACCTACTAGCAGGACAACAACCCTAAACATACAGCTAGAGCTACAATGGAATGGTTTAGGTCAAAGCGTATTCATGTGTTAGAATGTCCCAGTCAAAGTCCAGACCTAAATCCTATTGAGAATCTGTGGCAAGACTTGAAAATTGCTGTTCACAGACACTCTCCATCCAATCTGACTGAACTGGAGCTATTTTGCAAAGAAGATTGGGCAAAAACTGCAGTGTCTAGATGTGCAAAACTGGTAGAGACTTACCCCAAAAGACTTGCAGCTGTAATTGCAGCAAAAGGTGGTTTGACAAAGTACTGACTCAGTAGGGGTGAATACAACAAATCACTGGCTCATGTATTTCAGCATTTATTGTACAACATGTTTATATATGCAGTTATTGCTTTAATTTTTCATTCTCCATAGCATCAGTCCACTACTACAGTCTCTATACACAGTATACAATGCAGTCATATTAATATTTGAGTATTTTGTTACTGTATGTGAACATCTAATTGACCTTACAAACAGGAATTGATATAAGAAGAGCTCTGATGTACATCAACCCAGGTGTGACTCTGGAAACCTGCCACTTTCATATTTGAAAACATCAAAGTCGAACAACGACCCTCACAGATTTCAAATGATGTTCCTGGTGCTGTCATAACTGTCAAGGTGTAGCAGGAATCAAAACTTGCATTTATTAACAATATTACTACACACAGTCATGACCAAAAATACTGGTACCTCTACATTTCTGCCAGATAACTCACCACTTCTCACAAACAATTGTCACAAATTCTTTGTTATTCTCATGTTTATTTCTTTTGTTTGCATTGGAACAACACAAAAAAAGAAAAAGATTTGCATTGGAACAACACACAAAAAAAAGAAAAAGCCCAATCTGACAGATTTCACCCAGAACTACAAAAATGGACTGGACAGAATTATTGACACCCTTTTCAAATCATCAGAAACAGTTGTATTTCCAGCATGTGATGCTCCTTTAATTTGTAATGTATTTCCAGCATGTGTAACAACCAACAGGTGCTGGCAACATAGCCAAAGCTTACCTGAAGAAGCCACAGTCCTTCTGGGACAATGTCCTGTGGACAGATGAAAATAAAATAGAGCTTTTTGGTCGAGCACATCATTCTACTGTTTTCAGAAAACAAAATGAGGCCTTCAAAGAAAAGAACACAGTCCCTACAGTCAAACATGGTGGTGGTTCACTGATGTTTTGGGGCTGCTTTGCCTGAAGCAGCAAAGCAAGACTTTTTGGGAAGAAGTGGTGCTCTATCTGACAGAAATGCAGGCGTACCAATATTTTTGGCCATGACTGTACATAGAGAGCATTGTCCAGAAACATTCAGATTTACAAGTCACATATACAGTGGGCTGCTCAAAACAAACAGGATTAGTGATGGATTCCAATGGTTGGTTCTATTTTGGATCCAGTTCCAAGGTAATAAAATACATGGATTTGCTTCATGGACAAACCAACCTCTTGATAAAATATGCCATTCACCTTCTCTGTTTACTTTACAGTCTTTGGCTTCCCTGACACTACAGACATATAAAAAAAAAAAGCCCCCGAAAAGACAAAACAAAACAAAAAAGAAAAACTGTGATGCTGTTGTAAACAAATGTTATGCTATGCATTTCATGTTACATATCAATAGCACTTTTTGTGAGGGTGGGGGGGTCCACTGTTATAAACAAATATGATGGATGAGCATAACCACCCCAAAGCTAATGAAACAACTACTATACAAAATGAAATGTTTGTGGGAAAATACCCCCCAAAAAATAAGGGGGGTGGCATGTCTTAAATATTTCTTGAGTGTCCAACATGTTAAAGGAATAACTTGTATTATTTTTGGTACGCTGAGGACGAGCCCACTGTGTTAGTGTGGCCAGTCAGATTCTGTGACCCGTATCAGTGCAACAACCAGTTCACCTTCAGGTAATACTATGATCATGATTTGTTGAATTGATATTCACAGAATGTTCAAGCAGAACCAGTAGTATTTTCACTGTGCTGTTTTTACTTGAGCGTCTACAACTTCTGCAGCTGCAGCACAAGGAAACATGATTGATGACAAGGTTAATGAAAAGTCACAGAGCAGTGATAGAAATAAAACACATTACAACCCCTCAACACAGCAGAATATCCATCGTTTAGATTAGATACTTTATTAATGCTGTTTCTAGTAATGTCAGTGTCATTATAGTCAGATAATTGATCTATAAACACAAAATAACCAATTGTTAACAACACAGTTAGGTTAAAACGTTTGTTACACTGAAGAGTTTACATTTGTTTTGATTCTGAAGTGAATGGAATAAAGTAAAAATAAAAATAATGATAACAAATTACTTAAATGAGTTTGATGATTGATTCTAAAAACATTCAGACTCAATAGGCAGAACTGGATTTTAATTTGATAAAAACCCCATCCTCACTCAAGATACATTTGGGTGACAGATGTGACAGCAGATATCTCAAAATATGGGGAGACAAATGTATATGCCCTCATAACAAAGCACAGTAAAGTAACAATTTCCAATTTAATGTACAATGGTTTCAATTTGTTGCTGACATAATACTTATCCATTGTTTGATATAATTCAATTATTTTGAATACTGAAGACTAAAAAGAGAATGAACTATCTAAATATACAGACAAACCAATAACCACATTTAACTTCAAAAGCATGTTTCCAAATGTACATTTTTTTTTTTTACATCATCTAAAATAAACTTGGAAGTAAAACAAAAACTAAGTCATAACCGTCCAGCACTAATCTTACCACAGTAGACAGGTCTGAGTGGTTGATGAAAAGAACCTCTCAGCCTGAAGAGGCCTAGACCAGAAGAGGGGTTCACCTCACTTTGTAACAGAGTCTACATTATCTTAAAGATACGCTACCTAATTTCTTTCCAGCCACAACCGTGCTTAGTGAGACTCAGACTTACACTACAAAACTTTCCTTACCACTCTTTGCCCATCCTGTTCTGTTTCCTAACACTACAACATGAACTATGGATGTCTGCTGGTGATAAACTGTACAAAAGGCAGCCTCCCTTTCAAAGCTAGCATTAGCTGACTAATGAGTTAATTTGGTGATGCATTAGAATGCTCTAGTTACTGCTAATGTCACCCAAAGCACTACTGTTACACAAAGCTGAAATTACCATCAAATTAAAGTCATATCAATACAATAAAATGGTAAAATTATGATGCTGCCAGGTCACTAACATTACCAAAACAAACACATTAGCTTTAGATACTAAAGCATCCAGAGGGAAGACCACCACATCTATATCAAATGAATCCAGACAAACAAACACAACCACATTCACCACCATGTCACCTTGTTATAGTTTAACTTATGTAAAAACAGTTTCTATAATGTCTACAGAAATATTGGGCACTTGCTTTGCTGTTAATGTACAGGGGATTTATTTGCAGCCCATCTATCCATTTTCTATACCGCTTAGTCCCAAATGGGGTCACGGAGCCAATCCCAGCCGGCTGTGGGCAAGAGGTGGGGTACACAGGTCGCCAGTCCATCACAGGGCTAACACGCAGACTAACAACCACACACACACACACACAGGCAATTCAGAGACGCCAATCAACCTATGCTGCATGTCTTTGGACAGTGGGAGGAAGCCGGAGCACCCGGAGAGAACCCACGCAAGCACAGGGGGAACATGCAAAATCCACACAGGGTCGGCCGGGGCTCGAACCCGTCTCGCTGTGAGGCAACAGCGCTAACCACCTACGCCACCGTGCCGCCCTATTTGCAGCCCATCTTTTCTCTATTCTTTTGAAGAATTTGACTTTAACCTCCTTTGACCATAACAGCTGTCTGTCTGTCAGCAGGACAGTTGGGGTGTGTATCTCTCACTCATGGAGGAAAATGAAACCAGATAGCTCACAATGACACCAGGAGCTTGATCAATCAAAATAGGTGCCAATAAATCTGCAACACATATTGATTTAAACTGTCTTTGGAGATTATGATTCACTCAATTCACCAGAGGAAAAAAGACCTGAGACAAAAAGCTAAACAAAACAAACAAACAAAAAACTATTCCCCTATACCAGGGATACTGTCTCAAAGTTGGTGTGGACTGACAGATTTGTCTAAATGGGAGTCAGCCTGTTCTGTCAGTCAATGAGTGACAAGCCTGTGTATAAATGATACTACGACAACATTGCAAAGATAATTTGCTTTACTGCGTGCTACAGCTACATCCGTCTAGCCTTTGTCCAGAGATAGAGATGTTAAAACAGCCATTCTTTAACATCCATGAATTTATCACATCCAGTGTGACGTCTGAAAAAAGCTCGTCACACATTAAATCAGTTTGGTTGCAAAGTGTTATTGGTCACTCGCAGTCTGGACCCTGGAGTCCTTTGGCCACTTTAAATATTCTCTATCTTTAAAGAGCCCATAGCATGCTTTTCCTTGTTTTCCGACTTATCTACAGCAAATTATCATCTTACACGTGACCTAAAGCTAAAAAAAATGAGATGAACGTACAGTATGTTCTACTGTTTCTATGCAGAAACAACTGGGTTTAAACACATCTCACAAATTCCTGCTTGCGTGACTTTTTTCTAAGAATCTCCTTGAATGGTCACATTACCAGGCTATTGCGTGTTCATGTAAGAACATAAGAACAGATGTAAGAACATCCCAGAAATTTCCCCACTGTGGGATCAATAAAGTACCTCCTCTACTCTAAGCATGCCTGACATCCACCGGTACCCCCACCATATTGGCAAAATGTTATATTGCCTTGTTTGTTACATAGATTTTTAATAAGGCTAATATATAAAAAAAAACAAACAAAAAAAAAAACATCATGCTGTTGTTGTAAAAGCGGAATTTCTTGACTGAGCCTGGTTTTGTGGATATATTTTCCCTCTGTGGAGAAAAATACAGGGTTTGAGGTTACTGCATGTCCGGGAATGGTCCTGAACAGTGACTCACTGTTTTACCTGACCGGGTCTAACCTACAAGCAGCCGGCCAGTGAAGCCCCCTGTAGCAGTGAATGATCAGCTCATCAAGGCTGGATTCCCCCAGAGTACAGTACCTGTTTGTTTTAACTGCTTGAGGCCAGTGTGTCTGCTGCATGTGTTGTGTTGCTGGTTAATGAGTGGATCAATGACCTATGATGTTATTATTGGTGCTACACTACCTGTTGGAATTAATTTCACTACTTTGGGACTGTATGTGGTCATGGTGGGGAAGATGCAGTGACCACCAGCTGGATTTACCGACCTTGGAGCTATTTGAAAGGGAGTGATGTTTCCACTACTCGGTGGGACTTAACTGCAAGTTTGAAAAAAAAAACACGTTGCATGTCTGTTAATGCCTTGTTTCTGTAACGTTAGAGAGAATTGTTGTAAGGCTGGAGAAGTTACTATGTCTGCATTATGCCAGTTAAAATAAGGTGTTTCTCAAATGTTTAGTGTTAGACATGTCTTTTAATCGGTACATATACCATTGTTTACTTATCTATCGAGGAGAAATTCAAATTAATTAATGCCATCACGGTTCATTGTGCTGTCCACTTGTGACACAACACCGGCAGCAGGAGTTGTGCGCGTTCACAAACTGTCCTATTGTTTTAAGGAAGAGGTTTTTTTGGCTCTTTGATTCTGAAACAATTACAAACTATTGGGAGTTATGAAGGATGCCAAGCTAATCTAGATGTACCCAAGATTAAACATTAAATAGCTGTTAGCTGATACAAGACACTGCATGGCTGTTGGGGCTGATTTACAGATCATATTTTGACAGCACAGGCAAAATAAATGAATTTTCTCTTGAAAAAAGGAAAACAAACATAAAAAAACCAGGATCAATAGATGGCATAATAAAGTTACTGTACATGCCATTAGAAATTGTTAGAAACTCCAAAAGTCCCCTTACATTTAGAGCCACTATTTATTTTTTTTGCTTGTTTAATATCAATTGGAAGAAGAAGAACAGAAAACAGACATGGTTAATGTCCTATGGAAAGACCAAAACCAACAATTAGTTCATCCTACTAATAAGGATCCTGTATCTGCTACACTGATCAGCCATAACATCATGACCACTGACAAGTGAAGTGAATAACATTTCTTCACAATTATATTAGACAGAAAGTGAACATTCAGTTCTCGAAGTCAGTGTTGGAAGCAGGAAAATTGGGCAAGCATAAGGATCTGAGTGACTGACAGGGGCCAAATTGTGATGGATGGACAATTTGGTCAGAGCATCTCCCCAGACTGCAGGTCTTGTTGGGTGTTCCCAGTCTGCAGTGGTTAGTACATTAGTGGTCTAAGGAAGGGCAAACAGTGAACTGGTGACAAGGTCATGGGTTCCCAGTCTCACTGATGTGTGTGTAGAGTGAAGGCTAGCCTGTGCTGTCTGGTCCCACAGAAGAGCTACTGCAGCTACTGGTAAACTTAATGCTAGTTCTGACAAAGAGGTGTCAGAACAATCAGTGTATCACAGCTCACTATGTGTGGGGCTGTGTATATGACAAAAAGTTCAAGGTGTTGCCTTGGCCTCCAAATTCCTCAGATCTCAACCCAATTGAGCATCTGTTGGATGCGCTGTACAAGCAAGGAGACCCTACCTCACAACTTACAAGACTTAAAGGATATGCTTCTGATGTCTTTGGGCCAGATACCAGAGGACACCTTCAAAGGTTTTATGGAGTACATGTCTCAACTAGGCAGAGCTTTTTTGGTGGCAAAAGGAGGACCTGCACAATATTAGGCTGGCAAACATCATGTTATGGCTGATCGGTGTATATCTTCTATCAAAAAACTATTAAATCACCCCACTGAGCCACACTGTTGTACAGATTGACATGCTCCTCTGCTATCTTAACTGTAGTTTATTTCATTAGTTGTCATTTGTTGCTTCTTTTAGTGTGCAGCTAAATTGCGCTTCTTTGGTGCACACAGTTGAACTCTCTTCTTCTACTTCAACACAACGATGTTTCTTCAAAGAGTGTGAACGTGTAAACAGTCTCTTACACTGTGAACACCAGTATGGTTTCTCTCCAGTGTGGACACGCAGATGGCGGCTGTAACTATATGAACTGTTGAAACATTTCCCGCACTGGTCACAGCTGAATGGTTGCTCTCCAGTGTGGATACGAAGGTGGCGCATGTAGTTGCTCAGACGACCAAAACCTTTCCCACATTCTTTACACTGGTATGGTTTCTCTCCAGTGTGTGTACGCACATGTTGCTTGTATGTTTTTGAAATAGAAAAACTTTTCTCACATAGTTCACAGTGAAATGGTTTTTCTCCAGTATGGATACGCAAATGTGACTTGTAATTACCTAACTGAGAGAAACTCCTCCCACACTGGCTACAGCAATATGGTTTCTCTCCTGTGTGGACACGTAGGTGTATCTTGTAACTGCTCAAATCACTGAAACTCTTTTCACATTGGTTACAGTTGTATGGTTTCTCTCCAGTATGGTTACGCAGATGCAGACTAAAATGCCCTGACTGAGTGAAACCTTTTCCACAAAAGTCGCACTGGTACGGCTTCTCACCACTATGACTAAGCAGATGTCGCTTATATGAACTCAAAAAACTAAAACTCTTCGGACACTGGTCACAGCAGTATGGCTTTTCTTTAGTGTGGACACGCATGTGTATCTTGTAAATACTGAAGTAACTGAAACTCTTTTCACACTGATCACACTGGTATGGTCCAGTGTGGTCACGAATATGTTTTCTGTATGAACTTGGGTCACTGAAATCCATCCCACATTGGTCGCAGCAGTATGGTGTTTCTTCAGGGTGTGTATACAGGTGTAGCTTGTATGCATTCATTTGACTGAAACTGCTCCCACACTGTTCACAGTGGTACAGCTCCTTTGTAGTGTGGGTGACTTCATGTCTTCTTAGACTACAAACCCGACTGAAAGATTGTCCACACGTCTGACACTGATGAGGTCTGCTCCTTTCTGTGTCTGTCTGTATCAACTGAGAAAAACAGAAAAATAAAAATCAGTGTGGTATACTTCACAAAATACTGCCAGCCATCATATTTAATACTACCCAAGAACATACAGTAAATTCTTAAATACTTTATATTCAGTAACTGCAGAGAGAACCAGGCTTTTAGTTAATACATTTCTTTCATGATTTCATTAATATCCATTTATTTTATTATGATTTTACTTGTTTGTGCATTCTAATATTCTTGATCTCAGTAGATTTCCTGC